GTGGAGCCCTTAGCTTATCCTGGGGTGGAAGGTGCTGATGCTCAACATACTGCTTTTGAGTATCTGCGTGGGGAGCAACATTGCCTCGATGGGATAATTGGTATACGGATTGTGCTTGAAATTCTTCTGGGAATTATATGGATCTTGTGGTTTAATTGACTATGCGCCTTCAGCACTATTGGTGGAGATGTGCGCTTTATAAATCTTTATTATTATTGTTGTTGTTGTTTCATATAATATAAATAAAGGTAGGCGTTAACACTCTTAAATGCTTATATAATAATCATTAAAGGAACGAAAATAAGTGTTAGAATAAAGGACGTAATAATACACGATGTATTATTACGTCAACGAATGTAGTCCTGTAAATAAATGAATAAAGTAATTGTGTAATAAAATGCTTTCTGGCGGGATTCGAACCTGCGACCTCTTGCTGTCAAGGCGAGCGTCATAACCATTAGACCACGGAGGCTTCATGGTTGAACAGATTCAAATACCACCAGATACACTCCATTACACATAATTACGGCTAGAAACATTATTTTTATTGCTATACATACTGTGTCTAATCATACGGACATTTTACATTTACAATCCATTAATTTTTACACTGTTTTGACTGCCAAGGCCTATTTAAGAGCTTTTGGCATACGCCGTAGCATTCATTCACGCATAAGCCCTGAAGCTTACTAGGTACACCACTGAACTATGTTTCACCATTCACAAGGGGCGGTCGAGCATGCATAATTATGTGTATCAGTTCACAAAACTGACCTAAAATAGCGCCCTTTATAATTTCTGCCTTAACTGTATGAAAAAAAAAATAAAAAACATAATTTCTCAGCCAATAGGCCACCTAGGCCTACGATACCTGAAATACACGTTACATTCACCTTCCTTGTATGCAGGTCAAACAGTTGATATTTAAAAAGCTGACACTCTAGATGTATTGTTTGATTGGTATTTTAAAATGGAATATGGACTCGTCATCGCGCGTATTTGCAAAATATTAAAAAAAAAAATTGTCGCGATGTACATTCGTCATTCCTGTATATAATTAAGGCAGTATGGCATGACGTTGAGAGATCACTATAAGAACGCGATGCAGGAGAAGTGGATGTGTACTTACACAATAGCTAGCATACGCAAAACAATTTACTTATCGTGTTTATCAGTTGATTATGTAATAGAAAACGGCGGTATCGCGGGGTTATAACTTTTGATGTTCGGTTCGAGATGTTTTCATGTAATTTCACTGCTTCCTGTTTTATCAATTATAAATATTATTTACAGGCTCTTCAAATTTTAAATTACTATCAACAAGTACAATATCAATGACAAATCACAACCACTTTATTTCTTATTCGACCCCTTTCGGGGTATGAGAGAACATTATTTCTCATGCGAACATACAAAATAATCGGTCAGCTTACACTGCATGACTAATAAAGTTAACAATAACAATAATAAAGCTAAGTAAAAACAATAATTATTATAGCCAAACAAACACGATATCTTGTGAATAAATTGAGCAAGTTTTGAGAGCTGTTTTTTGATCTGGTATTAAATAATTAGTGCACTGTATCTAGTGTAATGATATTTTTTAATACATTCTTAATTAGTGTAGGGCAAACAAATAAATAATGGAATTATTTCCGGTATTATTTTGATTACACAGAGTACAATTTGTAGCTTGATCATTACACCTACAAAGATCAGATACGAGATCACACTTAAAAGGATCTATGATTTTCACACTTTCTATTTGTGTTAACTTCGTGCAGCCATTCCTGTTTTGAGATATCACTCAATCGGAGATTAATATGCCTACTATTTGCTATCAACTTTTTATTGAAGTTATCAAAGTTATCATAGTCATAGTGTCTTTTATTTTACAATCCGTTAGGACATTTATAAACTCTGGTCTTGTAAAAAGCCTCGATCTAGTTTTTGGAATCCCCAGACTTCAAAACCATATACTAATTATAGGCAAAACAAGCTGGTCAAACCATAGAGAAAATAGAACTGTTCTTTTTTCTCTATGGTCAAACAGTTCACACTGAATGCTTAACGGTAGACTTAATTGTTTATTGAGTTATCACGCTGTATATTGCTCTGTGTTACTTGCTTATCAATGGCTTTTTAAAATTTTCCATTAAAATTAAATGTTGTACCTAAATAGACATAATCATCTATAATTTCTATTTTTTTTTATCTCCAAACATAAAAATTGGAGTATTTTGAACCCTACCATGGAACCCTTGAAAAAATTATAATTGTTGTTTAACTCGTATTGACTGTGAGCTTCCACATGTCGCAGTAATCATACTTAATACCGTACTTTCTAGAGTTCTGAGTGACTTTCGGACATAATAATTGTATCATCTGCATACAATAGCACATATAGTCTGAGGAATTCTTCCACATCATCATCACTTAAGACATTATTAAATTCATTATCTAAGTGATCCAAACTTTTATAATAACGACTAACAAAAAAATTCGAAGTCATTAAGATAAATAGCAAATAAAAGCGGAGATAATTTTTTCCTTGGTGCACTCCAACATTACATGAGAAAAATTCGGATATCACACCAATCTGTTTGACACATAACTTCGTGTTAGCAGACAAATTATAAAAGACATGAATGACTTTACCATTTATACCACATAATAATATTAGTCTACTCTATAGAGATAATAGGTCAACCAGGTCAAACACTAAGTTGTAATCGATAAACGTGCAATACAACCGCTTATGTTTCTTTAAGTATAATTCAAGTATGGAACGGAGTACAAACATATTATCATTAGTGGAGTAAATGTCCCTAAATCCTACTTGCTCTTCACCAAGTATACCTACACCAACATTATATTCTATTGTTTACACTTTGGACATTTCTGGAATGTCACCCAATCTTACCAACTGACCAATTAGGGCCAGGAATACGAACGTGCTTACAAACACGACGTTGTCCAATAAACGCACGTGTTTTTGCATGTTTCACGTTGTCGTTTTGTTGAGCCTTAGCCACAATATTTATGTGCTGGAGCATAGCATTCTAATCTATGATGTATTATGAAAATAATTCTATTTTCACGATTATATTAAACAAAATCACATTTTCAATTTACAAAATACTTCAATTAAATCTACATTAAAATACATTCATTCAAACCGTTAGTATGTTGAATAAAATACATATTACTAAGAATAAAATTATCCATTTATCGCTTTAATGCATATATAAATAGCATTATATAAAAAAAATAGACCTATAAATTAATACAAGAAAGCATATGTATACTTTATATTCCCCACAATTAACTAGAAAATTTCAAATTACAGTACAAATAAATTAGTTTACACCATCGCCAATTAGTGAGGGAGGAAGAGCACAGTGAACAATAGATTTGATTATACAGTTTTCAGCACAAAATCTACTCACAAAATTGCGTATATATTTTATCCAGTCTACATAGCATGAAGGGATGTTATTGAATAAAGTTACAGGCTCCAACATTAAATAAATATTAGTAGTTCTTTTTTAATGACCCAAAGGTAATTATGACTAAGTATTTCTGATAGAGCCTCACTAAAGTAATTTATATAGTCATAGAGGAACCGTTTACGCAATAATTACGTCCTAAACATTTAATTTCTGCGGAACACTTTGAAGATGTCCTACATAAAGCGTTAGCTCTGACTAAGAAAGTCCTATACTTTTGCTTAATACCAAAATCATCCAGTACAAATTACAAACACGAACCACTTTATGAGTTCCAATAAAAACAACGAACGAATTTGTACTAAAATTACTACACCCACAGTTTCATTTAGTCAAGACTTTATCGGTTTTTGAAGAATGATGATTGTTGCAACAAATACAAAGCATGCATTATCTAAGAAATTTAATAAACATTTCTGGAATGATCAAAGTTAGCGACTGACTAATAAGGACAAGGCGGATATACGTATATCCATGAACACGCGTACGTTTAAATCTTTCAAATCCTAGCAACAATATCCGAGGGAAAGGCCAAGTTTAACCATTATACTGAAAGGCAACAAAATAGTCATTGTTACTGCAGGTATAAATATGGCATTCTCCATCGTATTTGAAATACTTGCATCCTAGCGCCCTCATGCACTTCACAGCGCATCTAATGCAACTTCTTTTCGAGTTTTTGTTCGTTACAGAACATTGTAGATTGTTACGAAAAGACTTGTAATAAGTGGAGCGTCCACCCAGCTCTGAGAACACCGGACCTACACAAAACAAATTTACAGTGGTATAATAAATAAAATTAGGCCTACTTATACTGTAAGACTGTCTTAATTCTTCATATCGATTTATTTTTACTAATTCGTAACGTCTGATTACCAAAACAAGCTGTGATTCAGACGAAAGACAATTGAATATATTGTAATAAACGTTTAAGACATATTAACATTTGAATAATACTTTTGCATTTTAATAATTCATTAGTATTCATAAACAATAATTTCAACATCATTTACCGTAAATTATAATCACAATATAATGCCATAATTGTCATTAAGACCTGTTTATACATGCAACGATAACGATAAAATGCTAAAAAGGAATTGTTCATAGAAAATTTTGATAACGATTTATCGTGTTTATAATAACAAAATAGTATGACAAATGTTGAAATGGCGCCATAATTATGGAAAGACGATAAAACCGAAGTAGTAACGACGATTGTATCGTTTTTCCATGAATATGACATTATTTGAATTGATTTGTTAAAATGTGTTTTATCGCATACACAATAATTCGTTATAGAATCGTGCCGGTGTTAAATACTTCTCTTATTTTTTTTGTTATGTATATTTATGAACACTTTAATACTTTTAGCTTTTTATTGTTTTCTATGGAAATATAAACAGACATTTATTATCATTATCATTGTCATTGCCATTATTACTACTCAATTTTTAAATTAAATCTAATTGGTATATTATTTTTATTTACCTGCTGAGCATCCAAGAACCTCAAATCGTAAACTTATATGGCGATTCCAGTCAACTGGATGAATACGGACGAATTGGGCGTAGACAGGGTCAGGGAATATGTTTGTCACGTTAGTGTCTTGATCTGAATTTCCAACAAACCTCTATAAATATCACATAATCTTATGATTAACATTGCGTTCTCAGCACATTATTCGAATATAACCAGAGGTGTAACTACCTGTGGTTCAGCATGCGATTCGATGAACCGGGGCCTTAAGGTTCAAGGTTCCCATGGTCAGGAGCCCTACCCCATAAAAATGAAATAGTATAAAACAAAATCATCGGACCAACTAAATAAAAAATATATATATATGATGATAACAGGCCTTATATAAATCTGTATGTTTACTAGTCAGATGGATGAATACGGACAAATTGCTCGAAGAAAGGTTCAAAGAAAATGTTTTCCAACAAAATTTTATCACATAATCTAAAGGTAAACTTTAAGTTCTAAACACATACAAGATACAAGAAATTTTATTTGTCTTCAAAATTATATAGAAATTTTTAAATACACGATATTTCCTAAAACATGTAACAGACAACTTGCAAAAAAACAGAATGACAAATATAAAACATTATATACTGTACAAAAGAAAACGAAATAGCAGATATAAATATCACAATATTATCATTTTATTTATTTATTTATTTTTTTATTTGTTTGTTTGTTTGTTTGTCTGTCTGTCGGTCTGTCGTTCTGTCGGTCTATGTGTATGTCTGTCTATCTATCTATCTACCATCTATTTATTTATTTATTTATGTTCTTGTTAATTTTCAAATTTTAATTTTTAGGATATTATTTTGATATAACATACAAGTGATTACTCTCAATAAAAAAGGAAAAAATAATATATGTAAATATATTTGGAAAAAAACATTTATTGACACTTACAGTTACTTGACAATCTGATTTCCTGATTGGTTGAAGCAGGTTACCATCGACACTGTAAAAAATCTCATAAGACGTCACCCAATTTGGCCAGCTTTTCTCGTTGCGGCCTTGTGTGATTACTCCATGTACCTTATGCAGTTTGCCGAGGTCAACTTGAATCCACTGGTGTTGGTCATTGATTTTTGAACGCCATGCTCCTCTCCCCCAACTATCTCTTTCAATGTTCAGTCGTCCACGATGTGCCCCAACCTGAGATTTATGTTCACTTGATGCGGATAGCTGTTCATCAGGAATAGTCCCATCTTCAACACCAAGAGGATCGATGCACAACTCTGAGATAGAATTATTACAATTATAGTTATGACACATTTGCTGAAAATTTTCGAAAATGTTCGTATTTCAGTAAAGATTTAAAACAAATTGAAAGAAAATGTTATTATTTAATATATGGTATAATTTGAATTTTATAAAATCTGTGTATTATGATTGTTCACATGATACCCTGTTTTCCGTTAACTGTTCCGCATATATTAATCTGAATCTTTATTTTATTACATTGATTTTTAGTTTCCAAGTTTATACATGTTTTACAATTTCTGTGAAAACATTCCATTTTGGACTTGGACGAACTTTATTTAAAAGTGAATCAAAGTTTTGTATATTTTATTTGATTATGATTATGAAAAATTTAAAAAATAGGCTTATCTACTAGTATTATACAATGAAATATTTTTAAAAATCACAATATTTTTGCTCTATGGTTTTAAATACGGTTTGTTTTGAGCAAATAAACGCTACCCGTATCTGTGGATAAAGGAAAACGATGAAACATTGCTGATTTTTTTTCTTGGTTTTTGCCTCCAAAAATTCTTATATTGATTCAATGAAGTTTTATAAGCTAAAAAAATGTTTCTAATTACATTACATACAAGACTAGGCTATTCATAAGTACACTTGTTTTTTTTTTATGAAAAATCGGCAAATACACTAGTGATTTACAACGTACGAAAACTTTTGCTTTTTGCGGTATTATTTTCAAAGGGCTCTAACACCGCATAGGATTAGTCATTTAGTTTATATAAATTATACGACTACTCGACATTTTATTGGCTTTCGAAGTACCTAAAAATTAGTTTGATTTGATAAATGTTCTGACCGGCTCGTCATTTTTTGTTGAACTGTTCAATCCCGATGGAATCTTTGGGAGTCCTCTAGTTTTAACAGGACTCGAGTCATTGTTTTGCTAGTGTTCTGTCCGAATAATTGTAATTATCAGTTTTGATGGTTTACAAATTAGAAATATGTATCTTATAACTTCAAATTGCTTTCAACCAGTTAATATAATAATATTAAATAATTGTTTATAAACAATCCCGCTATTCTTGTCTATCCAAGTACATCAATCCCTGAATTGCCGACTTTTTGCTCTATACAATCGCTAAGCCTTGTCTAGCAGCGTGGCCACTCCCAATTTTTGATATACCCAATGACTGGGTCGAAATTACCCAAGATTCAGCAAAATTTGCCCAAAATTACCCAAGCTTCCTAAAAATGCATTGAAATTTGAAAAAAACCCCCGTGTTTTTCGCATGTATAGTTTCCCTTTTAGTTAATTTTATAAACTATTTTTGATTGTAATTGTTTGTGTTAATTTTTAAAATTAATATTCATGAGGTGATATTACGGATCGAAAAATACGCCCTCAGTCGGCCAGTGTTATCAGTAGATCAGTGATCAAGTTTTATTATGTAATGCATTAATTAGGTAAGATCAATGGCAACACAAATCACAAATAAACAATTCTGAACCCATGCTTATAGCAATTAACAGTCAATTAACAATGTTATGTGCACTTCGTTGAGTTTTGCTTACTTGAATGGACTGAAATATACTTTGTTACTTCTTAATTCTTCCTCTATGACAAAAATATTTAATTTTCTTAGTAAAAATAAAATACCCAAGGATTTGAACGGTATACCCAAGAACCCAAGACCAAGTCAAAATACCCAAGATCTTGGGTAAATACCCAAGCAGTGGTCACACTGTTGTCTAGTTACTATAACTTTAGGGAAATACACATAGAGCTATTAAACAACTAGAGTGCTGACAACATGGCGGAGCAATGCAGAGTTATGCAGAGTTGTGTATGTGTACCATCCTAGATGCCGTAGGAAAGCGCCACTTTCAGGCTTAGTATACATAATAATATTACCATAAATAAGACGGGTAAAAATGTACTCTTACTTTTTACAAATTAAGCACAGTTTATACTCAATTCTAATAGTAGGATTGTTGGTTAACCAGTTGTCGTTCATATATTATCCATCTACTACCAAATTCAGATCTTCTAATGAAGAAATAAGGTGGTACTTAGCCCCTCAAACCGTAGGCCTGACAGCAAACCAAGGCCAATTGACATGCCTGAGTGAACAAGAAATATCCAATATGTACGACGAAACCAAAAATATCAAGTATGTGGTGAGTGTAATAGTCATGTACACATAAAATGTATACCAATGGGTATACATAGCTATGCATTTTTCCAGAACAATCCAACTATCCTATGGTTCTGTGATACATGTGCTTGTATGAAACTTAAATATCCTGCACCTCCACCAGAATCACTTACTACCGATCAAGAGAGGTGGTTAGCCTTCAAACAACCAAGTGACTTGCGCATTGGGCACTTTAATATAAACAGTTTAACAAGAAAAAATGATCAATTAAGACTCTATCTCAAAGAAAATAAATTCCATATTCTGTCCCTCTGTGAAACAAAGCTCGATGAGACAGTTAGCGACAGCGAACTTTCTGTTCCAGGATTTAATCTCCTTAGGAATGACAGAACAAGGAAAACTTGTAACTGAAGCCACACGTGTAACTAAAACTACAAAAACTCTTATTGATGTAGTAATTACTTCTAATGTGCATTTGCACTTGAAAACTTGCACTTGTGGACTTAGCGACCATGATAATATTTTAACTGACCTTAATTTTAACTTTAAAAAAAAATAGACATTTTATTAAACAATTTAGGAGTTTTAAACATTTTGACATTGATTTATTTTTATCTGATGTTAATAATATTGAACAGAAAGATATAAAAGAATGCCAAGATGTAAACATGTGTTACAATCTTTTATTTAATCGTCTAAAAAAAAGTGTGCGATCACCACGCACCATTTGTAACCAAACGCTTTAAATCTACCGGGCTGGCTTGAAAACAGACCAGATATATTTGATTTAATGCACCGAAGAGATAGAATGAAGGCGAAAGCCAAGCGTACTAAATGTGAGCTTGACTGGCGATTAACTAAAGATCTGAAAAATTGTGTAACTAGTCTATGTAGAGAGGCTAAAGAAGAATTTTATAAATCATATACTGTATATCTGAATATGCAGGTGATTCAGGTAAGATATGTTCGGGCCTTGGGCATCTCCTCCTTCGTAAAAGAAATATATCCAAACCCACTTGCATCCAAGTTAATGACACTGAAATAACAGATCCTTTAGAAATTGCTAATTCTTTCAACGATTATTTTATTAATATAGGCTTAAATCTTAATAACGATAATTCCTCTGCTGAAGCTATTACCACTAACCTTTATGACATTTCTTCCGAATTTTCTTTCCAGGGTTTAACTGTTGATTTTGTTCTTAAGGAATCAGCCCCAAAAAAGCAACTGGTCTGGACGGCATCAGTGGTAGACTATTGAAGCTGGCAGCCCCAGTAATAGCACCTATTTTCACTCACATTTTTAATCTGTCACTCTCTACAGGCACATTCCCTGACTGTTGGAAAGAAGCTGCTGTCACCCCAATTCACAAGGGTGGCAACACTTCTGACCTCAATAACTACCGTCCCATTTCTATCCTCCCTATATCCTCTAAGATCATTGAAAAGGCAGTCCACACACAACTCTATCCTCACCTTTCCACTAATAATCTTATCTGACCTAATCAATCTGGATTTAGACCTGGCTTCTCCACGCTTACAGCAGTAACCAATACACTCAATAACTGGCTTCTCAACATCGACAAAGGACACCTTACGGGCTCTATTTTCATTGAACTTCGTAAGGCTTTTGATTTAGTTCATCGTATTTTAATTAATAAACTTTCTTATTATGGTTTGTCTCCTCTATCTATTCGATGGTTCTCCTCATACCTTTATAACAGACCCAAAAAAAGTGATTATTAACTCCACCTCATCCTCCTCCAGACCAACTAAAATGGGTATTCCCCAAGGATCAATAATTGGGCCCCTTCTTTTTACCATTTTCATTTTTTATGTACGCTGACGATACTATTATTTACGTCTCGGATCCTTCCATTTCTAACATTGAAAAAAAGTTAAATGATGATCTTATAAGTCTCACCAAATGGCTTACTGCAAACAAACTTCTCATCAACACCAACAAAACAGAATCTATGCTTATTGGCACAGCCCACAAATTGCGTCGCAATAACACTCTTAAGACGCACATTAATGGCACTCAATTCAAACAAATTGACGACAAACTTACATGGAATTCGCACATACGTAGCCTCCGTTAAAAACTCGGTCTCTCTACAACTCCCCTGGCACGAGTACGGAGATTCATTGACACACGCACAGCACTTCTTATTTACAACACCATTTTCTTACCCATATTGATTACTGTTGTAGCGTTTGGGGAGCCAGGTCCATAACTAATATCAAAATCTCATCCTTTCACATCATCAGCCACCCTTTTCACAACACTCAATATTCACAACGTCAGTCAATAAATCAATTTACAACTTGGTTGCCTAGCATATAGGTCTGCTTCTGGTGTCGGACCAGACTACCTCTGCAAACCTTTTACGAAAGTTCAAAGCAGGAATACTTCTACTAGAGCAGGTACTGCTGGTCATTATAATTTGCCCAAACCGAGGACTGAAATGTTTAAAAGTAGTTTTATTTATAAAGGTCCTTCCTATCTTAATTCACTTCCTAATGACATACGAAATTGCAATACATTTTATTCTTTTAAAAGTAGACTAAAAATAGCACTAACATCATCTTAATGACTGCTTTTATTAAACTTGAAATTTTATATCTTGTTTATGCAATTGTTTTTTAAAAATGTTAACGAAAATCTATTTTATAATTGTGCTGTATATATTTTACATGTATTACTGTATTTGTTTTGTTATGCTGTATGTTTTGTATTTGTTACGAGGGCCTCTTTGAGTCAGCATCGCTGTAAGAGCTACCCTCATAAAAGAAAGTTGAATAAATAAAATAATAAAATAAATAGTATTCTTATTATTATATTTTTATGGAAATACCCTAAAAGAGTCGGCAACAGAGGGCAGCATTATTAAAACAATAGGAGAAATGTAGGTCCGTACCGTATACGGGCCCATCCAGGAACAGTAAATTACTCGGTATTTGATACGGACCACGACCTCACACAGTTGGGAAAATGGATTTTGGTGGACGTTTTTGTAT